TCCCCTCCTAGTACTTATAATCTCCTTGCCCCCTTTAGGTCGTGGAAGTTGCGAATGCAGGAACTGATTAGGATTTGCAGCAGGGAAAGGGACAATTTAGGCCTAGCAAGCCTCTGCTGCGTTGCGCGAGGACAGCGCAGCAGTGGTTGGTTGCACTATTTCTCCACGGGGCGTGGTGCCGTCGGGGCCGAGATGCGCTCTGATTGCAAACCGAAACTTAAAAACACGTCGAATTTGTGCGGTGCTTCAGAAAACCGTAAAATGCTGCGCGTGCCTTAAAGGGGTAGTGAAACGAAATTTTAGCGACGATCTTGTTGCATAAATATGGGCTAGGGACAGGCACCACCTCGAAAATATAAATATTGCGCTGTAAAACACAGGAGAACTAATTTTAAACATATTTAAACGATTTCAAATTCTCATCTGGTGGATGGGGGGAAGTTCTCGTGACATCACTTGTGCCAAAATAGCAGCGCCGTTCTGCGGCAATACGGCGTGCCGGCAGAATTCGCCTAGGCCTGAACGCGTTTGCAAAGCCTTGGCGGAGAAAGTCAAAGCGTAGTTGGCCACAGTGAGCTCGTTCTCGTTGCGGCTCTTTGCACGACACGGCCCGAGCATGCTTCTGGCACGGCCGGTATTAGTTGCTGCGAGTCGCGAGCTGCAAGCCGACGTTAAAAAGGATATGTTTGAACTACGAGGGTGTCAGCAAGAGCCACGCAAATGCCAAATACCTGTTCACACTCGGAGCGGATACGCGCGTTTGATCGAAGTGCTGGATTCGCTCTGTTAGACCGCGTTTCGGTAAGCGCTTCTGGACCGATCTTTTACGATTGCAACTCGATACTGACATGACACTCGGCAAAGAAAGGTTAGACCGACATCGCGTAGCTCCAGGACCGTAGCTCTCAAGTTTTGAGCAGCGCTCCAGGCGAGCAAAATAGAATATTTGGCTCGCGTTTCGAACATGCGTCAATAAGCTTCTCCAGTAGAGTTTTTTTCTACTCCGTTCCATTCTTAGTAGTGATGGGACGAATCTTTATCCGAATCGAGATTCGGAGCCGAATCTGGAGATTCGGAAAGATTCGGAAGAGTAGCCGAATCTCAAGAGATTCGGAAAAGTTCGGAAAGATTCGGAGCGTTGCCATGGTGGCCTGATCACGTTGATGAGTCTTTCAATTTTTGTAATATTAAATTCTCTAAATTCTACAAAGTGCACAAAATAATATTGTAATATGATATCACAGTAATAAATGAAATCTCCCGCTTTGTTTATATTATTTTGGATGTTTGTCGAATGGTACCGCTGGTATCGCGGGAAACTTGGTTTCGGTTTCGGATTGCGACCAAAATAGGCATGCTTGGTGCACGTGGAAATACAAGTCCACGTTTTCATCGCCGCAAGAGATCGATGCCGTACGTGCTGTTCGGTACAGACACATTTCACGTCCATAGTTACGGTTATACTGGCACACACCACACAAGTGAGTATATTCGGATCGATTATCGCCAACGTGTGTGCACTGAGGTATTGTTATCGGAACGCGGGAAACAGCCTTAAAAAACCCCTTGCGACGTACTATTAATCTCCCGCACTGCATTTGTACCTTTCTGGTTAATAATATCCGATTTCGTAGTGTTTGTTTCCGCGTTGGACACCCCTGTGTTGTGTTTCTTTTTCACCAAAAATAAAGTTCACGCACATAAAACTTGCTGTCGAGGACAGAGAAGCGACAGTACGAAGTAGTGACGTTTTTCTCTGGCACCGGTGCCGGTACGCGGACGAAGTTGCGACGAGCAACACTCATCTCGCTCTCGCGCCAGCTACAGACATACGCAGGTCTAGAGAACGAGACGGATCATTTCCTTGCCTGAACATGTTTATTTTGCTTTGCGCCACATTATGTATAATACGCAGCATTTCGCTACATTTTACCGATCACCGCGAAACAGCACAGAAACCGAGACCGTGCATTGGTTAGGCCTACGTCAACCGCACCGATCAGCTCAGCTGGATCTGGGCGGGAGGCACTCACTTGATCGAATGACGTTTTAGCGAACGCCCACGTTTTATCGAACGACACTTTAGCGAATAGTCGGACGCCGCGAAGCGGTGTTTTCGGGTGGGCCACGTGAGTTCGTATTTTTGTAATTAGTTGCCGCAGACTGTCGCCGCGAAGCGGCGTAAAGCGCAGCGCGACGGATGGGTTAACGCGCGCCCCCGTTATTCGCTAAAACGACCATTCGCTCAAATGTCGCCGTTCGCTAAAATGTCATTCGCTCTTGTGATATGGACCCGGTTATATGCAATAACAGTACCTAAAAAGAAACACGGACCGCGTTCACGAGCTTTACGACAAGATTCACGCTGCCGTCTTCAACCAGCGACGAATGGGACGAATCTCCGAATCTGCCGAATATTCGTCGCAGGAAGTTCGGAAATTTCCGAATCAGTCCGAATCCGATCTCTGGTGATTCGTCCCATCACTAATTCTTAGTGCCAGCGTAGCAGAGGCTACAAGAGCGAGAAGCTGTTCGTGCCTCTGGATCAGCGTCTTTTCCCCTCGCGGTTTAGGAACGAGCTTAATCCAGCGTCCACTAGCGACGGAAGATGGGGGAAGGTACGTCTTTTTTTCGTCCTTAGACGATTTACACAATACCGTGCACAACAGCTCCTCATCACTGATCAGTGCTGGCTTATTATCAACCTACTTAATTGCACTTGACGTTTGAGCGCGGCTCGCCTAATTGTAATTGGTCAGCAGATTGCACACGACCATATCGGCCGCGCTTCAAAGATTTCCATTCTCGCCGTCTCGTACTTTTGCTTTCGAAAACACCCCTGGCTCCACAACGTTGCCCTATTCGTGCTCCCACGGAATCTATTAGAGTAGATTTGGGACATAGCCATGGTTAATATACTACATAAGAACACGTACAGATCTCTCCCTTTTATTGATAGCAACTCACCGGAACAGCTGGACGATCCAGAACTCCGTGGCCGATATATATAAATGATCTAAAGGCTTCTACGCGTGACACACGTTCAGAACTTTGGCGCGGCGTCAATTCTTGACCGGTATCCAAGCGTGCGAAGGCACAAAGATGCATCACTCGGCGTGCCAAGGAAGCTTTGATCACGCCGCGACACCGGCGACACTTGTTTTCGACGAGTTGTACCTTTTGATACGGCTTCACGCACATTGCACTCGCAAAACACATCCAGACGGCGTCGATTCTTGGTCGGTATCCAAGCGTGCGAAGGCACAGAGACACGGCACTTCGGCGTGCCAAGGGAGCTTTGAACACGCCGCCAGCCCTTCCTTTCGACGCGTTGTGCCTTTTTCCTGCGACAATGCACTTTCGTAAAATTTTCCACGTGTTCACGACGGCAAGTCTCAACAATACACAGAGTCTTCAAAAAACTTCTTCGGCGAATGACGACGAACGAGTAGAAAACGTGTCCACAGCACGCTGGAAAACCGCAGCAAAGGCTAGCAAAAACGGCAAATCGTATCCCAAGCGAGTGAAGTCCGGTGGCTTCACTTGCGGGAGCGGCAAGCGCGATCCAGCAATTGTCATTGAGATCAGTGGTCGAACCGGTCGAATTTGGTTAAAAGTTCGAAGGTTCGTCGAACCGGTTCGACCCAGTCGAACCCCGTAAGTTCGACCAAAAAATCTGGTTCGACAAAAGTTCGCGACACCCCTAGTGACATCATTTGTTGCCACTTCGGGACGACGTTTGATGTATGGGCGGGTTAGGACGTTAAACACACCAGTTGGAGACGCGCTCCAGGCACCATACCTGGAGGGGACATAGTTTGCGGGAGCACTGGGTCTGATATTAGGGGATGGAGGAATTAATGAACAGAATATTACAATAACGAAGAGAAGGTTAGAAGATAAGTGGAAAAGGTCTAAGGAAGTGTAATATTACACGAAATTCGGCATTAACAAGAGACAAAATAAACTACGCCAGGCGGCGCAAGCTGCCGCCCGGTACAAAGGGAACAGCCAGTATTTAATATTCATCAGAGCCGTATATGTAGAGAGTTTGGCCATTCGTTGGGAAGTATAGGAGACAAAGGAAGCGGCGCCATTGGCCGAAAGCGGGCTGGGCGTGTTCCAGGGCGTCTTCACAAATTCGAATGTGACCAACCAGAAGCCGGAAATAATACCCTGGCGGTGGTCGCAAGAAACAAACCTGATAACTGCATTGGAGTAACTCTCGATGGCTGAAAATATGGTACACGTGATGTTTCAATCACACTCATCTAAAATGATGGTGGAAGAGTGCGACTAGCAGAAAGATCGACATAATCCTTACGCCAAACGCCGAGCGCCGGGAATCTGCCGTCCGAGCGGTCACACTCTGTCCGCGCAAAACAGAGTTGAGCGGCGCATTCGTTTCTTACATCTTTCTGCATGATCATGATGAAACAACACGTGCACCCTATTTTCAACCACAAAGAGTCACTACACTTCACTCTTACGCACTTATTACAACCATATACGAACATATACCTTCGATGATCGATCGGCTCAGAACTGTTTCTCGCTACCACCGCTAGGGGATTCTTTTCGGCTTCTGGTTGGTCAAGAGAGCATGCCAAGCCCTCTTTCCGAGTCTGCCGCACGCCCTGGCTCTGCCCGCGCCTCCCATTGACCAAACTCTCTACATATACGGCTCTGATATTCATTCTATTATCTATCCATTTGTGCAGTGAAGGCAAATTCAAAGTGGGAGGCTTTTTGCGCCACCTAGCCTTTAGAGTTGAATTTAGCCACGCACCAATTCCAGTGACCTGAAGGGTGGCGTCATCTAGCGACACGTTCTATCACTACACTCGTGCCCCCAGAGGAGCAAGATGGTGAAATCGGACGTCAGGCGTCAGGCCTCGAGGGCTGCTACTGCGTAGCACACGTGTACTGTTTTTTTGTTTTCATCTTTTTTCCCGCGGGTTAAGGTGTAAAGAGTGGCGACGTGCTCCTTCGCCTCGCAGGCAGCTGCCCTGCGGACACTTGTTCCACAGCCGCTGCGTGACATCCTGGCTTCGGAGGAACAACATCTGTCCGGTGTGCCGGACCCATCTCGCTCCACCGACGCGTAGGCGAAGACAACGCAGCCGCATCGAAGCCTGAGCCGTCGGAGTCCGTTCTCGTGATATTTCACAAATATATGTCGAAACTCGACAGTGTTTCAACAATTTTGCGCGCTCGTTATAACTATATCCGATCCCACCGACCTCGGAACGATACGGGAAATCCTCGTTCGGAACTTATCAGCACGCCAATAAAATCTGCAACGATCCCAAATCCGGAAACCGTTGCAAAAACGGCCTGCCGTCGTTTTTATCTTGTAGTCCCTCGCGCTGCGTCGATAATTCGGGCCAGATGCACAGCGCAGTTCACTGACGAGTTATTTTGATATTCGACAACCCAAATTTTTATATATACTAAATATATATATACTTTATTTTTGCACATTTGAGGTCCAACCTGCGATGTTAAATTATTAGAAGCAATTGCTTGCCTTGTTTCTAGTCCGATCAGTTTGTTGTGTCAACTGGGGCGGGGGGGGGGGGGGGGGGGGGGGGGGGGGTCACATTCGTTCGCTGGAGAGCGTAAACCGAACGACGAACTATTGGTTCTTGCCATTTTTTAAGCTTAAGACGTGTGCAAATAAAATACCACATTTTACCACTTACAGTAGGCTGTATGAAGTTTTTGGTACTTTAAATCCAGTGGCCAAATCTAACCAGCGACACATAGCAACACACGCGTTGAAGCGCGCTCGGGAAAACAAAACAAAAACTATAAACTCAGTGCGGCACGAAACGTGATTTTTACCAATGAAATAAAGATAAAAATGCCTTTTTTAAATAATGACGTAGTATAAGCGCTGTTTTGAGCGTTATAATTGTTTTAAATTAAATTTTTTTAATTGGATAACGTCATGCGGGAGGAACAATAAAGGATAGATCAGCCACCTTCCCGGCCGTTCCATCAATTGATTAGTTAATCCAAGAAACAACTTATTAGTTAAATTTGAGGTCACAACGCCAAAAAAATTTATAAGGTGACTATTTATTCTTGCTAACTAGCCCCAAACAACCCAAGTTGAAGTCCGACAACGTGGGGACTGGAACGGGGGCGAGCGGCGGTGGCGGGAAGAGCCGATGTAAGCTCCGCCAATGGGAAGAGCGTTTCCAGGAGGGGGCATCCAAGCGGTGACGCCATACGCCATGGAGAAAATTTTTTGTTGTCTGCGGGCTTGAGCTGCAGGAAAATGTCCGCCATTACCAGTTTTCGTTAATGCTCGTGTTACGAAACGGCGAGTAAAAGTGCAATTCGGTGCTGTGATAGTTAAGGAGGCCAGGATGGTGTTCGACCCGTGGCGGCGTCTGCGGAATCCCAGGCCTGGCCACTGAGACGTCATTCGATATGCGGCGCTGCTTTGTGGTGCGCTTCGTCGTTCGGAGCTGGACGGCAACATAACTGCGGTCGTCCGAAGGGACGTGTCTGTCACGTGGTTGGCGGATTTCTTTGTTTGCCCCGCTGAATGGAGCCGAGTTAAAGCCCGCTCGGGCACCTGGATGCGGGAAGCCACTGGATACCCGCGTTCGACCGGCCGCGTCCCCGGCCCTTGAGCGTGCAAGCGATCCGGAACAACGAGTGAGTCTGCCCCGAGAAGAAAGCGGTCTGTTGTGTCGCGCTGGAACACGGGTTCCCGTCCGAACCTCGCGTCGCGTCACGTGTTGTTTTCGTCGGGGTCCGGCGTCCGCGGGTGGTGTTCGGCTTGGACGGTCTCTCGGCGGTGTTCCTCGCAGGGCCGCGGTGCCCGCTCGGGGCGGGGGCAGAGCGCCCGCGGCGGGGTGCTCCCTCGGGGAGGGCTCAGGAAATTGATCGCGCCGAGACCTCGGACCTGCTCGTCGTCGTGCGCGTGCCGATGGGATCGCGTGCATGTTGTCGCCGGTGCCCTTCAGGATATGTTGCATAGCAGCGATGGCCCCGGCCTTGACGGAAGCGGCTAGTCAGGCAGAGAGTTTCAGCTTGCCGCACTCCCCGGCCTCCTCGAGCGTGTGCAGCAGCAACCCGGCCTCGCCGCCCGTCGAGCGGCTCGTCAACGGCAGGACGCTGCTTTCGCGCAAGTTTCGGGACCACCGGCTCCTGTGGGACGGTGCCAGCCTCGCGGCCTTCGCCAATGTCAAGCTGCTCAGGCTGCGCGAGCAGGGGGCCCCGCCCGATGCCCACATGAACGGTCAGGCGCACGCTGCCGCCATGGGGCTCACAAACGGCAGCGCCCACATGCAGCCGGCGGACAGGTCGTGGCCGGGGCCCGCGCACAGGCCCAAGCCGCGCCTCGCCTCGCCCCGCGGGGTTCCGGCTCCGCCGCCGCCGCCGAGGGTGCCCCGGCACGACCCCCTGGACGGCTTCGACCCGCCGACGGGCCAGGCATCGGTGCTCGAGCTGCTCGACCGAGCCCGGACGCGAAGAAACTCGCTGGAGCGCCGCTCGGAGCGGCTGCACCGACGCATTCGCAAACTGCAGTTGCGACAAGCGGTCCAGCACGCGTCCGGCCAGATGTCGGCCTTCTTCGAGCACCAGCAGACGACTCTGGGGCTGCCGTGCCTGATGCCGCAACGGTTGCTGCACCGCAAGCTGCGCGACAACGCGGACCTCAAGGCGGAGCTGCTGCTGCAGAGCGAAGATGTGAAAAGCCTGTCCACGGCCGCCCTCGTCAGCCTGGTGCGCAAGCTGGAAGAGTCAAGCTCGCACGGCGGCCAAGCAGCCCCGCAGGGCCACCAGCAGCAGCCGCCGGACCTGAGGCTGACCGAAGAGGACCGTCTGGAGAGCGAGCGGGTCGCCGGCACGCTGCGCTCGACGCTGGCCCACCAGGAGCGCGCCGTCGACTCGGACGCGACCGAGAGCAGCTCGGGCGGTGAGAGTGGCGACGAGCTCGATTCGTGGGACCAGCGCGCCGGCGTCTCCGTCGCGGCCTCGGACGCCTCCCTCGCCGCCCTGGCACCGACCAACACGACCACGGCGGCGACGACCACCACGGCAGCGACGACTCCCGGGGGAGTGCCGGCGCCCCGAAAGTCTTCCATGTGAGTAGCCGCTGGCTCCCGTTATACCCTTCCTAAGTTGTAATCGGCTTTAAATCCCCTTTAAATCCCCATCGTCAATTATCGGTTCTCGCCCTTGAACGGGCGCTTTCTTTTGTGCCTGCCGGCCTGTCTGGACCTGTCGCGACTGCGTGTTGTTTTTAGCCGTCTCTGAACGGTCGATGTGACCGCGTCTCTGCGTTGCTGTAGGCGACGTGGTTTCGAGAACGCCGTTCCTTTGTGTCGCTTTGGGGCCGTGGACTGCTGCGCCTTCTGCCCGCAACTCCGTGGTCGCCGCGCTTAATTTTGGGAACGCTCTGCACTGCCGCGAGAGCTCTAGTTGGGAGTTATCACGTACGCCGATTACGCATACTGCCTGCCAGTTTGACAGGTGTCGCAACTCACTCCGAACGCTTGTCCGCGTTCGCAGCTTGTTCCTGGTTTGCTCCCTATTCTCGACTTCGTCACAACGTTTACTGCAGTAGGTTATGTCGGTCGCGCTAGCACCTGCGTAGTGGAGCCTTCAAAGAACGCGAGGCGGAGAACACATATAAAGAAAGGCCGCCGCGCCGAGAAATGTGCTAGAACTGCTTACAACTTTACGATAAGAAAAGCGGCTGTAACCCCTTCAGCCCCCACGTCTTTTTTTTTTTTTAATTTTGTTATTACTGTTTTTGTTGTATGCTTTCGTCTGCAGCGAATGGTTGCACCTACTACAAAAATTCGGACAAAGCGTCGAAAGATATAAATAGATGAACCGATGCGCTTCATCTTTTTCTCGCGTCTTTATTGACCTGTACCAATTTTAGCTCCGATTTTACATCGTCACGACGTGCTCGTCCGTACCTGCTTTGCGAGTTTGGGTTCGACCAGGGGTTTCGCTCCATGATTCTCGGAATTTTTTTTCTCCGCGCGCGGTTTTTCGTTACTTTCGCGTACTCGTCTTCGGGCCTTTGGCTTTGGTTTCTCCGAGCAGGAAGCAGTTGAACGAAGCCTTCGGGGAAGGGGTGGTTTTGAGAGTGGAGAGGTGCCTGACTGGCTGGCTGACGCGCTAGATGGCGGCACTGGCTTATCGTTTCCTTCCAAAGGTTTAGTATACGATGCATCCGGCCCTCGATGAGATGAATGCCAGCTTGGGTTCCGGAACTTGGGATGTTTCCCTCTTCCTTTTATTTCGTAACTACCAGATTTTGTCATTTCGTTCCAAGCTGTGGTGGCTTTTGAGAGCTGACGACGGCTTTTGTTTTCCTCTTCTTTTACGCACGTCTATAGTTCTAAACTCTGTTTCGGCTAAATGAGGTGTAATTTTTAGCCCATGGTAGGTTATTTAGAGTCGAATACCTCCAGGTACCTATGCCGTTACTGTGATTGTAAGGCTCAGTTTGTCAAGGTTGTGTTGGTGGCTACATTCAAAAGAGGTCAAATTGAGTGGGCGGCCCCTTTTAGAGTCCTGGAATCCGGCAGTAGAGAAAGCCTGGAACTGACGAGGCACTGTAGTTTGCTTACAACCTCGGTAAACAGCTAATTTCAGCCCAGAAGCGATCATGGTATTTAAGAGATAATCACAACCATAATTTATTTCTCTTTGTGCTGGCCATTTCTGAATCCTGGGATTGGTCTTCTATTTATGGTGATAACTTAATCTACAGGCTCTAAACATCCTAAAAAAAACAAAAAAACTTTTGGGTGGCCAATTTTCTATTAAAAATATAATCAGATTGTGACATGCCCGTTTTTCTGTGCCTTGGCATTTTCGAAGATTATATGCTGTATTACATCTACACCCAAAGATTTTATGTTTTATGTCAAAATAGGATGTACACTGTGCTGTACACTGTTAAATTTTATGGAGCTGGTGGGGACTCAAGGGTGGTACCCCCCCAAGAGGAAAGAGTGTCCATGCATTTCTATTGCTGTGAGCTTATTATTAGGATGTCTTGCCATATAGAACTGACCATTTTTATTGACTAAAGCCCAGCAAACAATATGCCACCAAAAACAAGTTTCTATATAAAGCACTTGTGTTCCCTTTAAGCTAGTGTCTTGAACCCACAAAGTACAGGATGATGAAACTGGGCCATATTGTTACAGCTTGTCTTCGATTCCTGGATTAAGGTCAGCATTATTTCATGTTTCTTTGTAGGAAACAATTTGGAGCAATGTCAGAAATTGCAGTATAGGATTTTCCCACTTTTTCGTTTTCCTTTAGTTGCAGCCTCCTTGGGGTGCCCAGTGCTAAAAGTGGACAGACATATGGTGACCGTTATCCTTGGGGTCGTTTGTAGGAATGGTGTTTTTTGTGCCAGCTTTATTTAGGTTGTAATCAGTCAGTCAATTGTTTTTTATTAGTGCCAAGGAGCTCTTTCAGATTTTCTAAAGTAACATTGGAAACTTCCTTTAATGTCAACTCTTTATCATTTAGCTCTTTCCCAGCAGTTGTATCTATTACAAAAATGAGAACATTTCTCTATAAACATTTCTGTGTAGAGTTTGAAAAGGTTGGCATGGAATAATGTCACTGTGAATGGCATGTCCAACATCTGTGTTCAGTTTGTTTGGACAGGGTCTCATATTTATGGTGCCTCTGAGGTGACTTGCAGAATATTTTAACTCAATTTGCCCCGGTCCTTCTCTTTAATAGTGTTGTGCGCTCGGTTGAGTACTTGGCTGTATTATACCTTTGTTATTGTAGTTTTAGGTGGAAGGTAGTCGGTGAACAGCATACATCCACATTTTTTCCATTTGTTTCCTTGACCATTTCTGTCTGTGCTGCCTTGAATTTTCTGACCATTGCCCGTCGGTGGGTCACCTTCCAACTACTCCCTACTGTGCTTAAACAGACAGTTGCTCACGGAGGGGCAGATTTCCCACACAAATTTTTCTTGTGTTTGTGAATACTAACCAGTGTTATTTCCTTCTTACCCAGAAATTCAATCACCGCACAATGTTTGATGCTATTATTTGCTTCGGACATTGCACCTTGAATTGAATGACAGGGACCACCATGCGACTCATATATTGGCTGAAGGGTGATACAGTATCTAATCAACACCACAATATTGCCTTTAAAAAAGTAGCCTACCTACCATTGAGGACCCATCAAAAGAATCCACCACTACTTGCTCAGGCCCGTATCAAGCTGTCATTTGTAAAATACTGTCGGAGACAGGTTTCAATCTGGCTATTATGGTTGGGGCTTTTTGGTAGCGCGTCGGTCTAGTACCTGTTATGCCTAGAGCAGTGGCTACCTGTGTTCATCGACGAGTGACTGCAGCAAAATTCTGTAAGATGGCCACGAACATCATTGGCAAGGATCTTCTGAATTCCATACACAGCTCAAAAATAAGTTCTTAGGGAGGGCTGTGGATTCATATCCTTCTTTAGTTGCATCATATAAACAGTCTTGAGTCTTGTGACGTTATAAAGTGGTTTAGAACAGTTTCGGTGCAGTACATTTCCATCCTGAAATTTAAGTAACGGGCATTTCTGGTAATACTAGTAACAGCTGTTTTACTCGTTATCTTTTCTAGACACTTTTTGTTGCGTGCATAAGTACAGTTATGGCGTCATGCGTTAGACTCGGTTTGAAGTAATCTGTGCATTCCACTTGAATATTCGTTTTTGGGGGTATTTTGGGTGTTTATCATTCTGGCATGAGTAAACAGTTTTTTAGGGGTTGCCACAGCAGTTGAAAACTGCAGCAACCCTTCTGCATCAAACATTATACATGATGCCATCTTCGAAATCTTGTAGACCTTTTCATCTGGGTGGTTACCTGACCAGTGGACAGAGGGCGCTGGCACACGTGGTGCCATAAGGTGGATTCAATTTAATTAGTTGCAGTTTCAACGGGCTCGCAGCAATGTTGGTGTGTTATGACGTTTTCATGTTTTGTGATGTAAATGTATCCCTTGTGGCACAAACCAATGATACAGTGGTAATGGGCCACCTTGAGAACTACGACATAGTCACGAGCCTAAATTCTGGACATTTTTATGAACACCTTCATCTGATCATGTTCATCATTCGGCTAGGTTCGGCGGCGAAACGACTCAAATGATGCAGGAAGAGGATTACGAATGTCAACAGCCGTACTGGACGTGCCCGCTCATACTAGTTTCTATAAAGATAAACTAATAAAAAGACTAATGTTTGGAGGCACGTGAAAATGCAGGTTGACGACCTGACCTACAATGTGCTGAATCGCAAAGAGCAGATGAACTCACAAACTTAGTGCTCACTGCCAGTTTTCGAGGACACCAACATTTTGTAAAAATTGTCAGCTGGGAAATCCCTCTGTAATGGCGCATGGAATGCAGAAAAAGAGAGATATTGCCTTTATTGGTCTCTTTAAAGAAATGAAGTACTCGAGAAACATTTCAATTGTGCTTCTTAGGTCGAGTAGGACATTTTTTTCAACTATCAAGCCTGCTAAAGTATTCATTAGCAGCATTTCGCAATGTTGGCCTTACGAAACTATCTGTTATACGGAAATTTTCTTCCAATGTTAGGGAATGTAAGGTAAGGGACAAACCCGTCCATTTGAAGTTTGACATTCTTCCGTATAATTTGGAAAATTTTATAAAATGACGCAATAGAATTGACCTCCAGCATGCAATTGGCTCAAGTCAAATGCCAGGCACCATTTCATGGATTTGTGTAGACATCTTTATTTGTTTGAAACAGATAGGCTTTCTATTTTCAGCCGCGTCGAGGGTAAATCTGTCATCGATGACGCTGCACTCTAGTGTTTCCCATGCAAACGGCTTCTTTTCGGCGTCGCATAATGCGTGCCTCGGGCGCTTTTGTCAGGCACTCACAAGCTGTCTTCGATGCATTTTTCACGGGAGCCAACCCTGTGTCTAAATAGATAATTGGATAGCCTACAAAAATAGAATGACTGCAGGCATGAGACAGAGCACAAAGTATAGTTTCTTTATATTCATTAATAATCAGATTAAGCGAATATTTATACCGCAAGAATCAAGCGCTGTGTCTTTGTG